CAATGTGCATTGGCTCGTTTAGTTTACACTCGAAGTAGATTGGTCTATCGAAGCGATATCCCAAGTCGTCGGTCACCGACGTGACTCGGAGTGACTGACTGAAAGGGAACTGCTGTTACCAGATCATTGAGGCAGTGATTTTCTTCAACGAATTGTTCAGTCTGTGTTGTGAATAAAAGCAACTAATTCACAGGAAATAAAAAAAAAAGAAAGAAAAAATTCCACTGATTTTGTTCTCATCAATAAGCTTAATTTAAAAAAAGAAAAATCAGGAGCCAGTGCACTGGAGGTGTGAAGGCACCTGTTGTATCCATTAGATTTCTTCTTCTTCTTCTTCTTCTTTGCTCTTGGGTCTGTGACAGCTTGCAGGAAAGCTATGGAATTTGGCACACAGATGAAGGACAGTCAAAAAGTTATTAAATGTTTTTCGATAGACCAAATCTTTCTTGTATAGCGCATCAGCATATTCAACAAGAGCATGCCGAAATGGATGTCAACCTAAATTTCCGCAAAACTTTAGCGTATTCAGACCAAACTTGGTATGTGTTATAATAACCATGACCTGAGGATACATGAGCAGTTCCAGCACAGCGCCGCCTACTGGACAGGAGATATGAAAAATATACTTTTTTTGCTTACAACTTCTGAACAGTCTAGCCTAAAATTAGATTGGTCTCTTTAGCTGAGGAGCAGCATACCCAGTTTTCATACATTGGCCATTTTGGCATCATCCACTTTGAATTGTGTGAAAAAAAAAAAAATATATATATATACTATATTTTATAAATGCATTGGTGTGTTGTTATAAAAAACACTTTTTGTTCTCTTGGTTCTACAGATTTTTTTGTTTTGTTTTTTTGGTTCTTATCTTAGGCAGTTTGTCCGATCTTCATCAAATTTCAAACAGATTATCATCAGACCTTCCTGGTAAAAAAAAATTAATACAAAAATAGGTATCTCAAGCTGATGTTGTATAACTCATCTTCAAAGTTGACGGCATGATACCAAAGTGTATCTGAGGCTGTATTTCTGCAATGCCAGAGGCTGTGCTACCTATTGGTCAAAAGTGATAAGTGATTATGTCATTTTTTTTTTTATAATTTTGCTTAAAATTATCAGCAGATGTCTTTAATTACTTTTTTTTTAGTTGGCATGATGCTCCCTGAAATGCTTGCTTAATTGCTCATTAATTGCTGCTTGCAGCTGTATTATTTCTTCTTTCTTTTGATTTTGAGGTGAAATGTGACCCATATGTCACGAATATGACACATTTTTGACGATTTTGTAAGATTTCACCCATTTGACCAACAGGAATGAGCAGATGCTAAGATAACTAATTCTCATCATCTCTTTAAATCAGTTTCCCCTTTCTGACCCTTCAGGGTCCCCGTACCGAGATAAGATCACCATCGCAATCCTGCAGCTACAGGAGGAAGGGAAGCTGCACATGATGAAGGAGAAGTGGTGGCGAGGAAACGGCTGTCCTGAGGAGGAGAATAAGGAGGCCAGTGCGCTGGGCGTCCAGAACATCGGTGGCATTTTCATAGTGTTGGCTGCGGGACTCGTCCTCTCTGTTTTTGTGGCAGTTGGGGAGTTTCTCTATAAATCCAAACAAAATGCACAGCTGGAAAAGGTAAAGCAACATTTTCACATTTCTGGACTGCAATTAACATTTGAAATTTGTTAGGATATACTAAGAGTTTAGGGAGCAAGTCTCTAGAGAGAAAACATATCACATAAGATAATCACAAGAAATGGGTTTGCAATTTTGTTTTTCATCAACGAGGGTTTTGTGGGTAATATAAGCCAGCCAGTCAGATGAGTTCAACTGATGCCTCTGAGTATGAAAGAATCTTTTACAGATCAATGCAAACAATATTAATTCTGTCTAAAATTGGCTTTAATGTTGTGGTGCTGCGAGCAAAGCATGAGGTATATTTCACTGGTAATATTTTACAGACAGTGCCTGTGTCTGGAGAGCAAACAGTCCTTCTTGATGTAAGTCTCTGAAGACAGAAGGGCTTGGGCTTTACTTGCTCAAATGGCCGCCATTGTGTCATCTCGCCTCAACAGATGTGTTGTTCTTTCCCCATATCCACTTCACTCGTATACTTGATCTACTGAGCCACTGAATGCTTGAAGTGTACAGTCAATAATGCGGTAGTAAAAAAAAAAAAAAAAACTTTAAATGGATGAACTCCAGTTATCTCACTCACATTTGTCTTCTCACATCACAAATATAATGTTTAAGCACATACACACTCTCACAGAATTTATTGACAATTAAAAATCTGCTAATGAGCTGTGGTTTCACTTACTAGACTAAATTGCAGGTTTGCTTGATAGTTCTGTATTTATTTTGTTTTTATTTTATTTTATTTTTCTATTATTATTAACTTCCCTTTCCAGTTAATGATGTGACAGTTTAATCCACACAGTATCATCTTCAATGGTGTTTTCTCTTGAATTCTCTTTAAAATAACCAAATGTCACTTGAGTGGATGAACTAAGTACAGAGTTCTCTTTGCATTTACACTGTCCCATTAGAATGTTATTAATCAGTTTTAATATATGTGTCATAATTTCTCCACTGAGCCTTCATTTTTGCATTTTTGGAACTGAAAGAAGGCATTTAATTGCATTTAAAAAAGTTTTTTGCAGTCATTAAAAAAAAAAAAAGTCAGAATGGCACTTTGTCTGTAATTACCACACAAATAGAATAATAATTTCAACTCATCACATTTGCTTTACTTTAATATGGGAGGCCATAAAGGCCCAGTGACGAAATAAAATGAAGTTGTCATGCCGTGTGTTCACATTGCACATTGCAATGCAGCAAACTGCATTGTGGACACATAATTGGTCTAAGTTTGGTTATCTTTAAAGAGATCTTAGTTTGTTTGAAGCATTTGCATATAAGCTCAAAAATGTGCACTCTAAATATGGATAACCTAGATTGTCTTACAATGACAGCATCAACCTGCTAGCTTCAGTATTTTCCCAAAAAGCAGAGCTCCGTTTATTCACGCTCAGTGGAAGAAGTGTATTTTATACTCATCTCGGATTCATTGTATCGATCTCTTTAAGTGCTTTTGTTTGTTTGCTGTAAGTCATCGTATTGACATTCACAAATATTCTGGCAATGCGTTAGTTTGCTGCCTGATCCTTGTTTAATGATTACATTGACATGATAAGCCTACCGGCCAATGATACTGAGCATCAGTCTAGAGACAAGGTTGGGAGTGCCTTTCTGAGATGTACAGAAAGAAAAAGACCTATAGTTCAGTGCATATCTAAGTTTGTTAACTACTGTGTAAATGGTAATGTTCTCAATGAAAGTTATTATAAAGTATTACTGAGAAAATCTAGCTTGTTTACACTGGGGGTCCCTGGGTTGGCTGCAAGTCTGGGGTGCGTTTTCCAAAGAATAGTTAGCCAATGGTCGCAATTTCCAAAACTATCAAACATTCGCAAACAGTATCGCAAAGTTGTGTTGCTGGAACGGCAGCTCTTAACCTGTGGTTAGAAGCATTGTTTCTTGTTAGTATGGCATATGGAATAGACCTTGCTCTTGAGCAAAATAAGCAAGTTAACATGCAGAACAATCTATATGTTTCATTCCATATTTCATTATATGTATATCTAACCCTAACCCTAACCCTATCTTGTGACTGAAAATGATAGAGAGCCAATTAAAGTATTTTTGTGCAAGATTGACGCTGATGTCCTTTGTTCAGTATTCTCTTACACTATTCTGTAGAAGGAAGAAAGAAAAAAAAAATATATATATGGCAATGCCTCTTGCTCCTCAGGGGCGCATTCCTCCAGAAATTAGCATTTTATAATTGCCTCTATTTTGTAAGATTAGGAAAGAGCCAACAGTCTAACCAACAATCTTATTGCTTTAGATAAAAATGTATAAATGGTTCTAACATAATGTGATGTAGATTTCCTGCCACCAGAAAAGAAACACAAAAACAGATTTAGTTTGATCTTGTTAAAATCATTTACATTTACATCGGTAATAAAAGTGAGAACTGCAACATATTTTGTAGAATTGTTCATGGTTTCTTTATGTATTTTATGAAGATTTGTTCAGTGCATCTTTATTTTGATAGTGTATGCTCAAGATCACACATACACAGAGGCACATATAAATTCATGTTTAAATAAAAGGATTACTATAATGTTTCTGCTTCTCGTTTTCCTTTTTTGCACATTTTACATGAATATTCTTAACTCATTTCTTCCACCTCTGCTTTCTGCTGCTGAATTTCAGTTTACTAAAGTATACCTGTAACTTTGCTCCTGAAAGTCCCCACTGTCCATACATATCTTAATGTGTTAACACATTTCCTCTTTTTGTTCTATACGTTGATGTTCTATATCCAGTTTGTCATTGACATAACCACAAATTTGTCTGATCATGATGTTGGATCCAATGACAAATAAATAAATAAATACATACATACATCTACATAAAATACTGTTTAAGGTTTAGTATTTGAAAGGCAGGTATCACACTTTGTTATTTAATTTCAGAAATATCTGTTATTATATTATTGTATTATATATATATATATATATACAGTGGGTACGGAAAGTATTCAGACCCCCTTAAATTTTTCACTCTTTGTTATATTGCAGCCATTTGCTAAAAT